AAAAAAAAAAAAAAAAAAAAAAAAAAAACTGTAAACCATACACATGTTTAATTGTTCAATGGTTGCTGTTTTACATAATTGTTTTAAAGAATGTTTATTTTGTCCCTGCATGGAGTTCAGGTTTGAAATGTTATGATTACATTCATGACTAATTCATCTGAATAAGAACTCCAGATACACTAACATTCAAAAGTTTGGAGTCAGTAAGATTTTTTTTAATACAGCAAGGATGCATTAAATTAATCAAAAGTGACAAAGACATTTATAATGATTTCTATTTTCAATAAATACTGTTCTTTTGAATTTTCTAGTCGTCAAATAATAATAAAAAAGCATCATGGTTTCCACAAAAATATTAAGCAGCACAACTGTTTAACAACATTGAAAATGACAAGAAATTCTTCTTTCTGAACAATCATGTAACACTAAAGACTGGAGTAATAGATGCTGAAAATTCAGCTTTACCATCACAGGAATAAATTACATTAAAAAAAAAAATTCAAATAGAAAATAGTAATAATATTTTACAATATTACTGTTTTTAAATGTATTAAAAAAAAACGCATTCTTGGTGAGCATAAGAGACTTCTTTCAAAAACATGAAAAAAATCTTACCTCAAACTTTTGAACGGTAGTTTATATCATTGCTATGGAAAGCCATTTCCGCCTGAAAATGAACAGGTAATTGTTTCCCATAATTGCGACTGTATATTGTTAATTGCTTTATATTTCAATGTGAATGTATATTATTTTGTTTATATTCCACAACTACAACTATTTCCTGTACTTGTGATTTATTTAAATCTCACAATGTAACTTTACATGTGAATTTTTTGGAGAGGGGGAAGGAAGGGTTGTGAGTGCAAAAGTGCGACAATTAAAAAACAAATAAATGAATAAATCTGTTTAGAGACATCAGTCACCTAAATAACATGGACTCCCCTATTATCAGTCATTTTTTAAATTTCCTTAATTTGGCTCAATTACGGGTAAAAACTGTACAAGCAATTCTGCTAGGCCATGGCTATTGAAGCTCTACAAAAATAATATCATGTTGTCCACTCTTCGCTTGCGGAAGTCCTCAGAAGCAAGGAGATATTTACAGCAGATGGAAAAAGATGAGAAGGTAGGTGAGATTAAGAGCAGAGTTGGCTAGATGTGAAAGGAACTGAGAGATCTTCCACAAGGCTTGCAGTCCTCCATGCTAAAACAAGCTTTGTTTTATTTAAATGGAGACTTCGTATTCTCTTGTATCCTGTGGACCAAACAAACAAAAAACATCAAATATAATATGAGTTGAATTACTGAAATAAATGAACTTTTCCACGACATTCTAATTTATTGAGATGCACCTGTATATATGTCAAGTCATTATGTGAGAGGTAGGAATATGTAGCAAAACCAATGTTGGCTGTGAAAACAACACAAAAGAGATGCTAAAAATGGAGACGCCCTACGCCAGTGGTTCAAACCTTCTCGGCCTTGTCCATGTGACGCTATTCCATTGATCAACTCTCCTTACAGGCTCTTTCTTTACAACAGAATCCTAGAGAGTACCTCTGGTGGCTGCTTTGAATCATAGGTCTCTGTACAAATCAAAAATACCATGCAACTTAAGCATGAAAAAACGTAAAAATAATCAGCAATGGAAACATAATGGAAGTTGGAGGAAAAACTTTCAGGCAATTTTGTTCGGAAAACAATGTGTGATTTATGAAGTGATATTTTGGTGCTATCCAACAAATAAACACAATGTAGATTACTAAATGAGTATTAAAAAGCCTTCCGATATTTATGAAAAATAAACAGCATGCTAAATCAATAACATATGTGAAATAAAAACAAACCTTTATAATCTTGAAATTAAATATCCAAAACGCAATATTGATTGGCTCTGCTTTTTGTAATCGCAGTCTTTTGTAAGTCGAGACTTGTCATTAGACAGACATGTCTTTCTTCATACCCAAGAGAGATGCTTGTGTTTGCATCATCTTCACATAATGCTAGTCGCCACTTCAGGGCATTAGTGCAAGAAGAACTGGCACATATACATGCACAACATACAGTACAGTACACAGACACTCATCTGTCCAACCACACACACTTGCGTATACAGTCAAACACAGACTTTGCCCTGGGGGCCAGAAATTGAGCGGTTTAGTATATGCAGGCAGTGAGTGCTGCTGGGATTATGAGTGCTACACCACACAGAGAGAGATCTGGAGGGACACTAGCACAGCACATAAGAGGTGCGAATAACCTGCAGTCTGTAACGCATGTTAGACGCAGGAGGCTGGGGAAAAAGAGCATGCATCAGTGTAAAAGTATTGTAAGTCAAAATCTCACCTCATTGTTCTTCAGGGATGCAGATAGTGAGAGAGGAAAGAATGTGCAAATGTAAGTGATTGAGCAAGTCAAAAAGCATCAGATCAATTACATTTTTCATATTTTTGACTTTTTGGAGATCAACAGCAATGGTCCCTTCCGCTTGGGAGATTGTGCTAAATGTCTCCCTTTTGTGCTTCACAGAAGAAAGAAAAAGTCACAGAAGTTTGGAGGAGCGACATGAATATGAACAAATGAAGACAATTTTAATCTGTAGTGTGAATGTTAATCTTGAGCTGAATGTTGAACAACGAGAGCAGTTGAAGCAGAGGTGGCTGGTGATATGCTAACAGACTCCGCAATAATGAAGTTAAATGTTTAACTTCCTCTTTGGTGTTCTGGCCCAGTGATAAAACCGTGTGTGATCGCTAATGATGAGAT